AGAGAAATCATATATAGTTTATCAACTTGTTTCTTTAGCTGGTCGTTTCTACCTCAAAGTTAATGCTTAAAAATCACTGCCTCTTAAAAAATACTGAGGAGGTTTAAGTCAATCTTTCACATTCACGGATAAACATTGACCAAATGTTACTTTAGTTTTTCTCTGTACCAAGTCTTACTCATTTTTATGTAATCTCCATAGAGGTAAAATACTATAATGTTTATAGTTGAAAAGGGCTGTGTTTAAACCCCTTCTTTGAACTTAATTATTTATCTATTTATGCCTGAAATTTCATGTTATGTGGTCTTAATTACTTTTGAATTCAGTTGTATAGTAAAAGAGATGTCAATTTTTTAAAAACAGAAATATGTTGGTGAAGTGTTTAACATCGTCAGTCAACAATCAACAGCCAGACCAGGATGCATTATTGCATTAGATCCCATTACCAAGCTTGTAAGTATTTTTCTATTACTTAGCATTAAGTAAATAACACACATGTCAACTTACGTTGGTATTTATTTACATTCAGCATGGCAGAAAAACTCAACTGCTTCATGTTTTTCAAGAAGACTTCATTTTGAATAGCCTTGAAAAGAAGAGTCTGAGAAAAGACCATATTTTATCCAATGCAGGTAAAAAAATATTTATGTAATGAGAAATAAAATGTTGAAAACGTTAGGCAGTTAGTAAAAATAAATTAGCAATTTCACATTACCTATTTAACTTAAAATTGTTCCATATGGATGTGTGATATTATTTATCACAAATACTGATCTTTTCTTATTTATTTTGAGACAAAATGTTGCTATTTTATACAGGCTGACCACTAACTCCTGGGCTCAAGTGGTTCTCCTGTCTCTGCCTCCCAAGTAGCTGGCATTACAAACATGTACCACCTCTTGCTGCTAGTCTTTTTATTTTTCTTCTTCTTTTAGTGCTGAAAATTGAACCCAGAGCCTTAGAATGCTAGGCATACTCTTTACCAGTGAACTATATCCCCATCCTTATATTTTTATTATTTTCAAGGCAAAAGAGAAAAAATACTAAAGTTTTCTCAGTTACCTATTTTTAAAAAAGAACACAAATTTTTTGTCATCAGTGTGCAAGTGCTGTTTTCATGGATGACTTCCTACCTTATTGATTTGGATTACATGGCCATTTAAAAATTTGTAATTTAGGGGCTGGAGAGATGGCTCAGTGGTCTAAAGCACCTACTTGGAACAAGCTTGGCAAAGCACAGGGACCGCGGTTCAATCCCCCAGCACCACATGCCAGCCAGCCCCGCCCCCTGGTGGGCTGAGCTGGCCACACACACACACTCTAAATAAATGTTAAAAAAATAAAAAAAAATAAAAATTCGTAATTTAAAGAAATAGCTTAAGATATTAAGTTGTGAAGTCCTTAATTTATAACCAAATACCTCAGTTAAAGCTTTTATATTAAAACAGCATAAATTTTTTTATTGAACTCTACTATTCAACTTTAACTGTTAATTTGTATGAAATAAAGTAGAGCTAAAATCTCTTGGTTGTCAGTCTCAAACCAAACTCAGAAATAACTTTCCTGAAAATTAAAGTACGATAAAGTAGTTATGTAGTATATAAGTTATCACAACTCAAACAATGTTATCTACATCTTTGTTCTTGTCTTGTCAATCTTTTTTCATCTTTTCATTATTTCTTCTCTTTTATATATTTCTTATTACTTTTATGTTGAGAATACAATTTCTTACCATTGCTTTTAGTTAGCCTTGTATCACTTTCTCTGGGATTTCATGAATTGTGCGCATATATTTCATTCATATGCCTTTTGTAATTCTATGTGCTAAAGATGAGGATGAAGATATCAGATACAGCATAGAGGATTACTTATACAAGTAATAATTTTTTTATATTGGAATATTTGTTTACAATTCAAATATTAAATTTTTTGTGCTTTAGGTTGAATATTTCTGAGTTCCTTTTTACAACAGTCTAAGATTCATTTTTAAATGTTTTCATTTTAATAATAATTTCCTAATTTTTCTTTAAAAATATTGAGAAAATTCTAATCACTTTGGTTCAGAAACTATTAAGTTTCCCAGAAAAAAACTAAGAAGCTATGTGTTTATCTTACATGGCTCTATGGTCAGGAAGAAAAGTATAATTCCAGTATCATTTATGGGATCATTGTTATTGTGAGTGAAATGATCAGCAATAGGACTAGTTTGCCCTTTTTTGTTTCATTGTAATTCCTTATCCTTTCCTCTTTTAATTCTTCTAATTTATTTTATTAATTGTTACTGTTTATTTATTTGGTATGGGGGTCTCACTACACAGTTCAGACTTGTAGTGATCATCCTGTCTCAGCCTTCCCTGCCCTGTGCTGGAATTATAGGTGTGCTCTACCACATCTGGTTTCAAGGCTGGCACAGGTGTACAGTACTAGGGATCGAACTTGGGTTCTTGTGTTTGCCAGGCATGCACTTAGACCCCCAAGCTATATTCCCAGCCCAGTTTTTATAATTTAAATACCTACTTAATTTAGACCATATTATCAGAGTTACTTTTTCATTTATAATTATCTTTAAGAGAAAAAAATAATAAGATGATACAGATTTTAAACACGGTAATAGATTAACAATGGTTAATATATTGTGCATTTTTAACTTCAAAGTAGTTGCTCCAAATATAAGACATAGGCATGAAAAATTAAACAGTAAGAGCATAAACCATTCTTTTTAATGAACTAATAGAAATTAGTACTATGATTGTATGTTAATCTTGTGTATCTCTCTCCTTATGTGTCATATATACATGCTTTGTTTTCAGTTCGTAAGTTGTTTCACTTCTCTTTGTTAATCAAAAATATCACTGATCTCAACAGGTAGCTCATTTAATGGATTTTCTGAAAAGTTCTACTTAGTTGTAATAGAGAGCACTCAAAACAATCGTTCATTGTTACACATGTGGAATTTACATTTAAAATCAATTCCTGTGTCATTGGGTGAGTTGTCATCTTCTTCATTTTTATTTATTTTTACTTTTTGGTAATTCTTAAGTAGGCCTAGAGATTATATATATGAATAGAGAATTCAGGGCATATTCTTAAAGCTGTTCTTATCTTATAGAGTGATAATTATTGTTTTATTCAGTTAATGCAAAATGATTCATTTTCTTGTTTTACAGAATATTACTACATTGTCATTGCATCTTTTATAAGATAGTTTTGTTTTTTTAAATATAGTAGTTGTAATACTTATAGGGTCTCTTCTTAGTTTTTTATTTTCTTAATGTTTTATAGATGAAAAAATAGATGGAAAAATATCTGAAGCAGTTGGGCAGCCAGAAGAACATTATTCTTCTTCTCCAGAGAAGATTCTGTCTCCTTTTTCACAGAAGTATCAGACTTGTAGAGCAAATCTTCAGAGTACCAGCAAGTTGTCTCTGTTTTCAGAAATGGTGTATAGCCAAGAGCTGCATTTGCCAGAAGGAGTTGAGATAATAAGTGTTAAGCCATCAGCAGGTTTGTAAATTTAATGAAAGGAGAATTTTAACCCATGAGTGCTTATCAGATATTTAAAAAATAGGTATTACAACTACCTGTAAATTTACATAGAAGCAAAAATGGAAATAATTATATTTAAGTATCCTAAATTAAAGAATTAAATTTTTAATTATGCTTTCATATTACTGTGTTATTTTGAGCCAACTCTAGTCTTAATACTTTTTTTTAGTATATGTACTGCCAAAGCAAACACTGTAGTACTTAAAAAAAAAAAAGAAGTTCTTGGGTAAAGAAGTTTCTAGAATAGAAATTGTAATTAGGTAGAACCTTATTTGTCAACTTTGGTAATAGTGGTAGTGTTGCCTGGAGCTATACTAAGAAAGAATAAATGTGTGGTTCCTGAGCTATATTTATCATCCTTATTTTCAGACAAGTTTTCAGAATGTAGTGTCCAGATCAGCAGTGTCAGCATCCCATAAATTTGTTGGAAACAAAAATTCTGAGGTTGTACTCCAGTTACTGATTCATAGACTCAGAAATAGGGCTAATGATCTACTCGAATAAGCCTTCCAGGTGATTGTCCTGTGCATACTAGGAATATCAAGATAGAATTTTTTTTGTATCTGTTTTATAAGTCATTCATTCCTTTCATTGGAATAGTCAAAGTGTGGTGGCTTTTTGTTATAAGTCTGAAGGAGAGGGCGGCACTTGATTTGTTTGTTTCTTTGTTTGAGACAGGGTCTTGCTGTGTAGTTCAAGCTGGCTAGCCCAGGCTGACCTTGAACTTTGGGCAGTCCTCCTCAGCTTCCTGAGTGCTGGGATTATAAGCGTGAGCCACCACACCTGATGACAGTGCTCTAATTCTAACAAGTATTACAAGAACTGTCATGTGCATGAAAGATCAAGGACCACTATTCTAGGGTATCAAGAATACCAGTATAATAGCTTTTTATTACTTTCATTTTTCTGATCAAAAGTTTGTTTTTGTTTTTTATTACTTGTCTTTTTTTTTGATTCATTAATTTGCATGCTTTTCAGTTTCCCCTATTGATATCAAGTACTTTTCAGAATTGTGATGTTTACAGGAGTAAATATAGTCGTGTTCTGATGTTTATATTTTGTTTTATATATTTTTAATTTTTAAAATTTCAGTGTAAGGAAAAATTAAAGTTTGCAAAAGAATGAGTCTTGCATTGACAGAATTTGAAGAGCAGAATTTGAACAGTACAATCTTCATACTGATATTTATCAAGTAATTATTAATTAACTTTGGCCTAAGTTCTGTGAAAAAAGTCCTAAGCAAAAAGAGATTTGTCTGACAAAAAGTATAACATACGATAAAAGATGATTTTTAAAGAAATACTGTTGGAATGGATAAAAACTTTGTCCTGTTCAGTTTCATCCTGATGGATATGTCAATTTTATCATTTTATAATATTGCTATATTCCCTGAGGACTTTGAAAAAAAGTATAATAATTACAGTGAAATTTACTCTTAGAATATGGTAGAATGTCCTATATGTGTTCATATTGTAATTAGTAGTTTATGTAGACTAATTTAGCCAGTAGCCAACAAACTATAAATCACCCACTAGTTGTAAATGTTTGAATGGAATACTTATTTTTTTGTGTACTACTGTATATAAATGCTTTTGTCCTATACTCTTAGAATTGAGTAGTTGCAACAGAGACACTGCAGTTGGTAAAGCCTAAAGTAGTTTATTGATCCCTTAAGTTTGGTGGACCTCAATTTGGAAAACTAATAGTATATGATTATTCAAATGTGAGAAAATGCTAAGTGCCACTTAGGAATCTTCTTAGCATCAATCATATTAACTATACCTCAGTCATGAAGAGCCCTATCAAGTGACCATTTAATACTTAGGAAAGTATGGGCTGTTCACTTTTACTGAAAACTGAAAAAGGAGCCATGTTATATTGACTAATTATTTAAAATGTATTGATACCTTTAAATTAGATTTATAATGTATGAAACCAGCAGAGTTGTGATAATTCAGAAATAGGATAGGAGTTCAAGTTTTCATTCTGCCTATGTCTAGTTTGATTTAGGGTCAAGATACTTAATGATCAAGGGTCTTTATAAAATTTAGGAGTTGCAGTAAATTTTCTTGAGTCTCCTTTCAGCTAGGTTTTTGTGATACTTACTTTTTATATACCTTTTTGGTATCATTAAAAGCCTTTTGTAGTTCTTGTGATCCTTAACTAAACATAGACTGTCACATTCTTATCAGCATTTGATATGAAAGGACTAAAACTTTAATACATTAAAAAACAAGTAATTAAGAAAACTTGACATTTTGTTAATGGGTTATTTTCCTTCTAGGACATCTGAGTTCTTCTTCCATATATCCTGTATGCAGTGCTCCTTATTTATTGGCAACTTCATGCTCTGATGAAAAAGTAAGGTTTTGGAGATGCAGAGTAACAGATGGAGAATCTACCACATCACAGAATGCAAAAATAGATCTTGCATACATTTGGGAAGAATGGCCATTGCTTATTGAAGATGGACTCCAGAGTAATAGTAGTATAACTGTACCTGGTAGGCCTATAGAAGTTAGTTGTGCACATACAAATCGCTTAGCTGTAGCTTATAAGCAGACTGCATTTAATAGTAGATCTTCTCAGGAGTTTGTGATGCATGTAAGTATTTTTGAATGTGAGTCCACAGGAGGTTCATGTTGGGTTCTTGAGCAAACAATTCATTTAGATGAATTAAGCACAGTTTTGGATTCTGGCATTAGTATTGATAGCAATTTAGTGGCCTATAACAAACAAGAGGCATATTTGTTCAATAAAGAAAGTATTACAACCAACACAAAACATTTAGTTCACTTGGACTGGATGTCTAGAGAAGATGGTTCTCATATCTTGACTGTTGGAATTGGGTCAAAACTTTTTATGTATGGACCTCTATTTGGCAAGTTACAAGAACAGACTACTAAGGAAGGCCTGGCTTTTCCTCTCTGGGAGAGTACTAAAGTTGTGCCTCATTCTAAATTTGTGTTATTACGAAGTGTGGATTTGGTTTCTTCTGTAGAAGGCTCCCCACCTTTTCCTGTGTCTTTATCGTGGGTCCGGGATGGCATCCTTGTGGTAGGAATGGATTGTGAAATGCATGTGTATTCCCAATGGCAGCCATCTTCAAAACAGGAACTTGTTACAACAGATTCATATAATGGGAGCACTCCTTCAATACTAAGTTTAATAAAACAGAGTAACTCATCAAGTTCTGGGTTACATCCTCCCAAAAAAACTTTGACTCGATCCATGACTAGTCTTGCACAAAAAATCTGTGGAAAGAAAACTGCATTTGATCCTTCAGTGGATATGGAAGATTCAGGTCTTTTTGAAGCAGCTCATATGCTTTCCCCAACTTTACCTCAGTACCATCCTTTGCAACTTTTGGAACTCATGGATCTTGGCAAAGTTCGGAGAGCAAAGGCCATCTTGTCACATCTTGTCAAGTGCATTGCTGGGGAAATTGTGGCTCTGAATGATGCTGAATCCAATCATGAACGCCGCCTGAGGTCTCTTACCATCAGTGCTAGTGGAAGCACTACCAGGGATCCCCAGGCATTCAACAAAGCTGAGAATACAGATTACACAGAAATAGATTCTGTTCCTCCACTTCCTTTATATGCTTTACTTGCCGCAGATGATGATAGCTATTACTCATCTTTGGAGAAATCTAGTAATGACAGTTCTCTAAATAAATCAAACCTATTGTCAAAAGAGAGTTATGATGAATTGTTTCAGACTTCATCTCTGGTGCCTGATGTTCAAGAGTTAGAGACAGATGAAGAAAATACGAAGCCTAAAGTTATTGACCTTTCACAGTACAGTCCAACTTATTTTGGACCTGAACATGCTCAAGTTCTTTCCAGCCACTTACTTCATTCTAGTTTGCCAGGACTCAGTCGAATGGAACAGATGTCTTTGATGGCATTGGCAGATACAATCGCAACTACAAGTACTGATATTGGAGAAAGCAGAGACAGAAACCAAGGTAAAACTAAATTCCATACAGGATTGGCATAAAAACTGATGCTGATAGGTTTGCTTATTTTCATAGAAAAGATTTAATTTTTTATAAAAATGGTGCTATGAAATTTTTAAAAAAAACTTATTGCTGCCTTCTCAACAAGTTTAACTCCAATAAGTAGCTTATATCCTATAAGTCATAGTACTGTGAGGAACTTCACAGACTCATTATGCCAGACATTTTTATTATTTTTTATTAAATATTTAGGCACCTGAAAATAGGGTAGTTTCTTATTGTTTTTCTTGTGCTGTAATAATGCATTATTAAAATTGTGTTTTCAAAAAACTTTTAAAAAAAATTAACATGGTTATGTTTTCCTATATTAAATAAGAAATATAAGCATTAGCATAATAATATTAGATCTTTTCCTCACTTAGAGAGTATTATTTTTCAGTCTCCTGAGTTATGAACAAATTTGAATGGAGAATTCTCCTTAAACTTCAAATAATGATACAACTCTATTAGGAATATGTAGTGAAAAATTTACTTACACAGTACCAGTGCATTCTTTCCAGAGACCAAGCTAGCAGCAATAATACAGTTATATTTTTATATATTTTTTCTCCATAACTGTTGTTTGTGGGAACATTCAGTTAGTACATGCAAAGGAAAAAGATATCTATGCTAAAATGATCTCATTTATATAACCATCGTAGCTGAATCCTATGATCTAAGAAATAAATTTGAGATATAAATAAATTGTAAATATAAGAAAAAAGTTGACAAAAGATTTTTTTTTTAATCTTGTATTTATTTGGTACAGGTCTCACTACACAGCTAGGACTCATAGTGATCCTCTTATCTCAGCCTCCCCAGCCCTGGGATTTATAGGTGTGCACCATCACGCCTGGTTTTGGTGGCTAGCTCAGCACTGGGCCTGCATGGCATGTGGTATAGGGGATCAAACCTGGGTCTTTGCTCTTGCCGGGCAGGCACTTAGGACTGCTGAGCTATCTCCCCAGCTCCAGCAATTTTGTATAACACAAAGGGCCAGCAAGATAGCTCAGCAGACCAAGTACTTGCTTAGGCAAGCGCAGGGACTAGGGTTTGATTAGTGGCACCACATACCGCCAGCCCTGCCCTCAGGCGCACTGTGCCAACATCACATCATGGTATGGTGGTGCACAGCTGTAATCCCAGTGCTGGGAAGGCTGAAATCAGGAGGATCACTATGGGACTGAGCTGCATAGTGAGACCCTGTACCAAATATATTAAATAAATAAAACAACACTAAAAAGTTCTAGCAATATGTATCTATATCACAATATCAGATATAGGAACAAAACATTCTTAAAGTAACCCCCCCAAAAGGCAAGACTTTTAACATTCTAAAATAAGTTCTAATATTTTTCTATGTATTTTTATATTACAGAAAAAAGTAAAACTAAATAATTGGAAAGTAAACAAAAGCATCTGATCTAAATGTTATTTAAATTAAAATGTACCTGAATTTTGCTCCAAACAATTAAAAACAAAACATCTATAATATATTCATATCAAAAAGTAATTATCTGTTAGTAATCATCTTAGTATTTATTAAGAAAATGGTATTTTAGAAATTTAAAAAAAATATTTTTTGCCTTTGATTTTAGGAGGGGAAACTCTCGATGAATGTGGGTTAAAATTTCTTCTGGCTGTTCGACTGCATACCTTCCTTACAACTTCCCTTCCAGGCTATCGAGCTCAACTACTTCACCAAGGTAATTTTGATAATAGTCTGTCCAGGGAAGTAAAGTAAATTTTTGTACACTCATGATCGTGATGGCTAATTTTATCCATTTATAGTTTCCTTTATTTTTGAAGCGTTTACTTCCTCTTAATCTTCTTTGCCATTGGAACTTAATCTTCTTTGACAGATGAAAAGAGTTAATGAAGAAGTAAATATTTGGCAATTAGGTATTATGCATGATATATTAATAGTAAATTAGTATTTCTAATTTCTTCTTTAGGTTGTTTTTAATATTTATCTAAATTTAGCTTTTCTCCACAAAAATACTTTTAAAAAAAATACATATTCAAATTTAAATGTTTTACTAAAACAGTACAGAACATAGTAAAAATTAATCATCCCCAAACTGATAAAATTAATGTGAACATCAGATGCTATTTTAAGATTAGTTAATATTAATAATAAAATTTATTAATTAATATTAATAAATAAAGCTAACATGGACTCCAGACGTTAGTTTAATAAAATTAGTATATTTAAGATATTCTTACATACTCAGGACTCATAGTTGAAAGTAACAGAAATCTCACTGTAGCCAACTTCAGACAGAAGATGTATAGCTCAATTCCCACTACCCTGAAAAGAGAGAATTGGTTCCCTTGTTACTATATCTCTTAAGTATAGACAGTGCTTTTGGAATTGCAGATTGGCCTGTACTCTTTCAACTGTCTCTTTCTCTTTACTTTCTCTTACTGCTTCCTTTCTCCCCCACTTTGCACTTAATTTTTGAAAAGTAAAATTTAAAAGTCAAATTAAATTTTCTTAAAATCTTTATGCAAATTGACAATATTCTATATGGGGTGTACAAAGTGTTATTAAAAAATATGTATACAAAATAGAGTGATTAATTCAAGCCAGTTCAACCCCCATATTTATTTTTTTGGGTGAAAATATTTGATCTTTACTCTCTTAGCAATTTTGAAATATACCAAGAGTGGTCACCAGGCTGTGGTTGGGAACTTACTCCTACCTAACTGAACCTTTTGATCATTTAGCCTGTGTCTCCTCACTTACCTGACTCCCCAGTATCTTTTAACTGCTATTCCACTCTATTCCTATGAGTTCTGATGTCTTAGATCCCATGTATAAGTGAAATCATGCAGCATTTGTCTTTCTGTGCCTTTCATTTAGTGTAATGTCCTCTAGGTCCATCCACCTTATTATATATCACAAAATTTATTTTTTTCTAAATGCTAATTAGTATGTGTGTATATATATTCAACTTTATTCATCCATTGATATTGATTCCATAACTGAGTTATTGTGACAATGCTGCACTGAACATTGGTATGCTGATATCTTTTCAGCATATTGACCTCAAATTTTTTTTTTTTTTTTTTTTTTGGTACTGAGGATTGAACTCAAGACCCTGCACTTGCCAGGCAAGAGCTTATTCTACTGAGCTATCTTCCTGGCCCAAATCTTTTCATATATTAATTCCATCTATACAATTCTCCTTAGTGAGAATTTACATTCTCAGCAGTGGTATACAAGATTTTCTTTTTTTCCATGTGTTTGTCAATACTTGGTACTTTTCGTCTTTTTGGAAATAGCCATTCTGACATGTACAAGGTGATTTCTCATTGTGGTTTTACTTTGCAGTTCCTTGATGACTTAGTGATGTTCAACATTTTTTAAATCTATCTGCCAGCCAGTCATAGTATCTTTCTTAGTTTATGTCTGTGTAGGTTGTTTGTTGATTTTAAATTAACTTTTTTTTTCTTTTGTATTTTAGATATTAACCCTTATTAGATGTATAAATTACAGATGTTTCCTCATAATCTGTTGGTTGTCAGTATGCTATTGGTTATATCCTTTGGTATGCAGAAGTTTTTAAGTATTGATATATTTTTATTTATCTGATTTTGTTTTAATTGTCTGTGACTTGCAGCCATATTCAGATCATTATCATGAGCTTTTTAACCTATATTTTCTTGTAGCAGTTTTATGATACATGGTCTTACGTTTAAGTCTTTAATCCTTTTTACATAGCTGAGAGTATTCTTGGTAAATTAATCCCTTTATCATTATGTGATGCCTTTCTTTATCCCTAATAACTTTTCTCACTTTCAGATCTCCCTTCATCTGGTACTATACCAGTGTTAATATATCTTTCTTTCTTTATTTACTTTTAGTCTGTATGTGTCAGTATATTTCAAATAGGTTTCTTGTAGATAACAACATGTAATTGGGCCTGGTTTTGTCCCACTGTGGCAAGCTCAGTAGAAGTCTAAATTGATGTATTTAGACTTTGTTCAAAGTGAATACTTACATAGTATCTACAATATTCCGTACAGTCTTGTTGGATCATTGTTGCTATTGCTTTTTCATCTTCACTTATTAATCCTTCAGTGTTGTACTTTCTTTATGTAGGGGACAGTTTTGATATCCTTTCCATCTGAAGAAAATATTTTTTAAAAAATTTTTTGTAGAGCAGATTTATTGGTGACTTCTCTAGTTCATGTTTGAGAAATTCTTTATTTTACTTTCAACTTTGAAGAATTATTTTGGTGAATGTAGAATTCTAGGTTGATGGAGTTTTCCTCTCAACACTTTAAATATTTCAGTCTATTCTTTTAAGAAGTTTGTATTGTTTTAAAAGAGAAATCTACTGTTGATTAGATAAAAGATATTTTGTTGTGTTTGTTTGCTTGAAACTCTGGCTAAGCATTTTGTCTTTCTTCTTGCTTTTTAAATTTGAATGTAACATATATTGGTGCATTTGGTGGTGGTAACTTGATTTATTAAATTAAATTTATCTTGTTCAGTTAATTTATCTTATTCAGCATTCTCAGAGTTTCCTGGTTTTGTGATTAACTTGAAAATATTCTCAGCCAATGTTGATTGAAATTTTTTTTTCCTTCTTGTTTCTTTTTCTGGTAGATATGTACTTCATGCCTTTTATAATAGGGCCACAGTTTTTGCTATACTTGTTGATTTTGTTCACTTTATTTTTTTCATTTCTGTTTGGGAAATTTCTGTTGTTCTATTTGTAGATTTATTTTTTCTTTCTTTGGCCATGTTGGGTGCACTGATGAAGCTGTTGAAGGCATTCTATTTGATTTCTAGCATTCCTTTTGGCTATTTTATTAGTTTTCTTGTCTGTGCTTCTTCTCTATTTTTTTCCCCAGTGATTCTGTGGAAAATACACTTTCATTAATTGTAATAAAATTGATGATAAAATTTTTAAATGAACAATAAATTATTATTGACTCGGCACAGTTTTGTATAGCAGCTCTCAAGAGTTTATTCATTTTTGACAAATCTTGTCTTTTGATTAATTACTCTACATTTCGCTTTCTCCCAGTCCCCGATAACCATTATTCAATTCTTCAGTTCTATGCATTTGGCTGTTTCAGATACCTCATACAAATGATGTTTTACAGTATATGTCCTTCTGTGCCTAGTCCATTTCACTTAGCATAGTGTCTCCAGGTTTTATCCATGTAGTTATATTGGACTTGTTAGTGTGTAGATAGATAGATAAATAGATAACATTTTAAAAATTCATTCATCTGGCTGTGGGCATTTAGTTTGTTCTGCATCTTGGCTATTATGAATAGTACTATAGTGAACACAAGAGTACTAATATCTCTTCAATGAAAAATCATTCCTTAGTAGCTTAAAAATATGAGGCCAAGTATGTCAAAACCACAACTAGTTGTTTATTTTATCCAGTAATACTAAATAAAGTATATTGTGAAAAAATAAAGTAGATGCTAAACAATAAATAACTAAAGGCCAAATGTTCAGGCCAGTAAATTGCTGACAAATGATGCTTAAATAAGTATTAAAATATCTTACTAATATTTTATGGTATATTAATAATTATAAACACACGCTTCTCAGAGGAAGAAATTAAACAAGTGAATAAATACATGAAAAAATGCTCCACATCACTAGCCATTCATGAAATGCAAATTAAAACTACATTGAGATATCATCTCACCCCAGAAAGAATGGCTATCATAAAGAAATCACCCAACAACAAATGTTGGAG